GGCCGTTAGGTTTTTTTTTAAGTTAACTCTGTATGTAAGTCGGAACTGGCGTCAGCCGCTGCTGAAACTGATCAGTTTCAACCGCGGCTGAATCTGGACGCCAGTTCTGACTTACATACAGATTCAACTTAAGAACAAACCTACAGTCCCTATCTTGTACGTAACCCGGGGACTGCCTGTAATTGCAGGAGTTAATATTGCCAGGACTAATTTATGATGGAGCCAGCACAGTTTGTTTGCTTGACTGAGTTAATGGCATGGCAGCATTTCTGCACTTGATTGTATCACTCTGCTGCATTTACAAATGAAGTAGTTGAACTTTAACTGAAGTGAGGGGAGGGCATCAGGGAAGGGCCCTGGCTGAAACTGATTTTGAAACTGATAGTACTATTCAGCTTCAGTTTACAGCCCAGCCTGTCCAGTTCCTTAGGCTAGATGTGGACATGGGTACAAATTTCTTAACCCAGTGGTTCTTGCTCTCATTTACCTTGTGTTTCTGTTACACTGTTCTGACAGCACCTTTAAGAGGATGTAAACATCCCTTTACATTCCTAGACCATGGTGAAGAGCCTTAAGGAGTGAGAATCTGGCCTTGCAAAATTTCAGTCTATATTTTTGCACTGAAGGAGGAAGGAACTGAACACATCAGAAATTTGAAGGGGGCTACATCTAGACTGCAGGCTTCTTTCAGCAGAATCTTTTCCAGAAGAGGTCTTCCAGAAAACTTCTTTCGAAAGAGAGTGTCTACACAGCAAAAGTGCAACGAAAAAGCGATTTGCTTTTTTGAAATATTGCATCCACATTGACTGGATGCTATCTCACATTTAAGTTGTGATTACTGTGAACAGAGTAGACACCAGGGCACCTGTGCTTTTTCCTGGAAGCCTTTTCTTTCGAAAAAACTCCCTCTTCCATGTCCACACATGCCTTTTTCCAAAAAAGCTTTTTCAAAAAAAAGCTTCTTCCTCGTAGAAAGAGGTTTACTGCTGTCAGAAAACCCCCTCCGTTTTAAACACGATAGTAGTGTGGACGTAAGTATACTTTTTCTGGAAAAACAGACATTTTTCTGGAAAAACTCTGCAGTGTAGACATACCCGGGGACACCCACACCACATTTGCACTTCATGTTTGTCCAATAGGTTGCTGATGGAGGAGTTTGTAAGTACAGTGTGCTCACATGAGACACAAAGCACTGCCCCATCTTATCCACTCCCAGACACTGTGCGTTCTCTCTGGCCTACATTTCTGGGGGTAGAAGAAATAGTAAGAGATATCAGAGAAGACAGGCTATTTGCTGCCACAGTCTTTCATTTTTCTGTAACTTTTCAAAAAAGA